CACCCTGTATAATATGTATCATTAGCTTGTACATTGATTTTTAATTATTAAAATTGCAGAAGTTTGATGAACCATATTAGACGGAATACTAGAACATGTAAATACAGTTTCAAAGTAAATAAGATTTCGAAGTAAATGTTAAGTAAATGTTAATGTTTTTCCTGCAAATTCCATTAGTTCACTCATACATACAGTGGATCTGCCAATTGTATGTTCGAATAAGTTACCATCTTGATAAAATATCTTAACTCTTTAATGATTAAATAAAGATTAATTCTTTCAAATAGATTAATGGACCCAATTTTATATGATTTGTTTTCATTCTTACAGTGAGTAGAATATGCTTTTAAAGTTCATCCATCTATTTTTCAAATACCTTGTAATTTAAGATATAAAATTTTTGTTAACTCAAATTTCTATAATAATAAATATAGAGGAATGTTGAATCTTATCAAAACATGACGTGATGAAGACTTCTTTGCTTACAATAATAAGTATATTGTTTTTATTTGGCACAATATAATACAAGAAATATTTTTATTCGAAAACGGTTATGAGAAATATACATAGTTGTGTGTGTGTGTGTGTGTGTGTACGAAACAGTGTAAAGTTAGAAACAAAGGAATCAAGATAATATTTTTTTAATTAAAATCTTTAATCACATTGCTTATTAAAAATATTTTGTTAAAATTGATATGATTGCGAGAGATCCAATAACATTATCATGTGTCTCCATAAGATTATAAAATTTATCGATGTATCTTTTACAACTGAAATTATTGTTGTATGGAACATAAAAGCGTCAGACACGAAAGCATTAAACTCATGCTCTAAAACGAAAAAGTATTATTTAAGAAGCTGAATGATATGATGATTATATTTATTAATAATATGATTTCGAACCGTGGCCAAACTTTCCAAAGAGGGACTAAACAAACCACCAGCATCAACTTTGTAAGTTTTTGTAGTTTTTCTCATCACAAAAAGTACAAATTTTTGTATCTTTAACGGGGTCTGGTACCATTTCGTATTACATCTATATTGCAAAAAATTACTTAGTCTCTAAACATCTTTGATAATTATTCTATTGTATATGTATAATTATCATTGTATATTATAAGTAAAGAAAATTTTATTAAAGTGGAGAACTTTATGCGAAATAAATAAATTTCTTTTATTAATAACTTTTTAAGGAACAACGAGCGACGTTTAAAATATTCTGAAGATCACTCAAAAGGGTGATCTATAATATATGTCAAAGGTGTCAAGATTATTCGAGCTGACTCCTTTGTACTCAATAATTACCATATTTTTATATAGAACCGATATAGGTATGTACAAATTTTTGATGCAATATTACGGGTTGTAAAAGGATATATTAAATACATGACATACATCGTGTGATGGACATGCTCGTCGTGATTTATAAATTCTTGCCCAACAAAATTACCTATAACTAAAAATAAAAAAATAAAAATCACATAACAAATTAATTTAATAATTTCCATTTTTTCCTGATGCAGCGTCACTATTCGAAATAGCTGGAAGTAAAATCGATGATTTCAATACTTATAAAACTAGCGATCATAA